ACCGGGCCGTACCGTGAAGTACGGCCCGGTCCGGAACCCGTTATCGAACGTTATCGCGGCCCGGGTATGGTATAAACGAACAATATGTACCTGCATATTTCTATTGTCTTCAATTTATTTTAGAATCTCAAAATGCCATAACTTTCTTTTGAAAGAGTTACGGTGTGTCTACACATTGTCAAATGTTGCAGTAACAAATATTTTCTTCTTTGTTGCCTGTAGGGAGAGAGGAAGAACAGTTTTGAGGTTCCTCCCAGGTTCCAACAGAAAGTAGAACAAACTCAGACTGTAGTGAACCATGTGTCTTCTACAGCAGTAACTCTCAACTCTACAGGTCAGGCGTCTCTTGTCAACTTTTCTGCTCTTGGTACATGTTTACTATAATGATCCCTTTTTGTTATGTCATATGCTATCTTTAAAGGTTAGGGAAGTTATAACTGCAAAAATTCTTCTAATACTAGAAAGGTAACATTCGCAAAGCAAATGCACAATGTTTACCTCTGCATATGGTCTGCTCTGTTAATTCTTACTCAAACACATTTATATGTGACAGGAGTCTAAATCCCTCCTGCTATAAAATTGCAACATGATGTAAACCAAAAACACTAATTACCATGGTTACAGACTTCTGGTTCAGGTCATTGACCATATTGGTTTGGAGAAGAAGAAGAAACTGAGCAAAAACAATATGTTTTCCTTCAGTAAACAATAATTCTGTACTCTCCTTCCCTCCAGGCTCTGGTGTAGGCTTGCCGTCCCATAAGAGTCTATTGAACGAGTACTGCCAGAAACTGTCCTACCCTCCGCCCCAGTATGTCACTACACTGGAGTGCGGACAGAACAGGGAGAACCTCTTCATGTGTCAGGTCACTGTCAACAGTCTGGTGCTCAAGTAAGTCTGCAAATATTTCTGATTCCAACATACTTCTTCTTCATTCTTCACATGATTTATTGATATCAGATAGTCACCATTGATACTCCATTAAAGTGGTGGATCAAACATAGTTTAGCTGACATCATGTATCAGTAAAGTCTCGTGTGAATAAGGTCACGTGTCTGTTACTGTAACTCTTGCGAGATCACGTTGTGAAGTGATGGGTCATTTATTATCCCGATGAAGGCAACAATGGTTGTTGAAAATTTGATCTCTGTGTAACCCTTGTGCTGGAATAAAGTTCAAGATATCCATGTTATACCTGGGCCATGATAATATTTGATGCAAGGTTCTGAACCCATCTGAACTTCAGTATCACACAGGGTCTCTGTAATAACCCTTTTTACAATTCAGGATGGTTGATTGGCAATCTAGGATTTGAAAATTGTATTTTGATGGATTTTGCCTTGTCTTTTTCAGATGCACGGAGGGGATGGGAAGTAAAAAGGACGCAGAAAGGACGGCAGCTAAAATGGCGCTGGAACACTTAGGTGTCATCTCACAGGGAGACAAAGGTAGGAGCTTATGCATGTTTGTGTCTTATCTGTATCTAATACCCAGTATAACCATCCTTCAGTGCAACACACCAGATTCTGTATCTGTATAGCCAGTATAACCGCCCTTCGGCGTAACACACCAGATTCTGTATCTGTATAGCCAGTATAACCATCCTTCAGTGCAACACACCAGCTTCTGTATCTGTATAGCCAGTATAACCACCCTTCGGCGTAACACAACGGCTTCACAGGCACGCGGCGCGGCGGCAGCTGGCTATATTACACCGAACGACTTGTTACACCTAACCTTTGAACATCTAACTCTAGACATTGTTTAAAGCTATAATGACAATGCCCCTACTGTACTTGGTGACAGCGAGTTCCACTCTGCGATAGTTCTAGGAAAGAATGAATTTTTGAACACCTCAATCCTTGTTTGATAACTCTGGTACTTGAAGGCATGACTATTTCTTGTTCTCTTCTGAGCAGGCATAAGATACTTAGTAGCTAGGTTGTCACTAACAATGTGACTTCAGTCTATCCTGTCCATACTATCAACTTAAGGAAGTTAAAATTGATCACTTTAGACAGCTGGTCACTATAGACAGGATTCTTACTGCTCAAGTCAGTGTGAAAAATGATTTAAGTTGAGCCATTTCTCTGCTGCCTAACCAAGACGTAAGGCAGTCCTTTTGCAGAAAGCGGTTACTATTCTATATTAAACTGCTTTGTATGTAGACATTACAGTTTGTTTTGTGTTGACACAGATCCAGAGACTAGGAAGCCTTCAGCAGAAGTGACACAGAAAGCTCCACAGAAATCCCAGCCTGCCCCAGTCCCAGCTAAACCTCTGCCCAGGAGTAAAGGGGAGGAGGAACTCGCCAGGATGATCAGACAGGTACAGGAATAACTTTTCTTTGGCCACACTTTGTTAATTTGTTGCTTCTTGATTTAACATTGAAAGATATGTTGGTGAAGGTTAGACATCCAGGTAATAATAAGATGCGCCTAAAACAGTTACTCAAGCATCTGGATATTATTTTGGAAACGGTCAGACATTTCCGGTAGCATCCACTACCTTTCCTCATTGACACTAGGGAATTTGTGCAGAAAGGTATTTTGTACCTGGATTTCTTCATCTAATGTGTAAGATTAGTTCATGGCCGAAAATCTATGGTGAGCTCCCTTCTTGTGTTGGAACAAAGCTTGAACTTTACAACTATGGATTCTACCAACACATATGAGCTTTCATTTGAACTGAAAGTTATATTTACTCCTGTATATCTTCCTTACGAAGTAATGAACTTAAAGTTGAACTGTTCTTCCTGCAGCTTTCTAAGAACCGTCCGAAGGGCAAAAGAGCTAGCTGAAGCATCTGACTCTTTTCAGAGAAATCATCTAGTTACCTGATATATTTTTTACCTGAATTTCTAATCTATATCTTATATGTAAGATTAATTTGTGTATAACTTAAAGTGACAAATATGACGAAAAGGCTAAGGGTCCATTCCTTGAACAAGGATGACGGAGTTAGCCAAAATTCCCCAAAAGTCCCAATTTACTTAGTGTTCAACATAATGTTTACCCTTTTCCTTATAATGAAGTATACCAACACAGATGGCTATGATATACTGTATATCTTTACTACCAAGTACTGACCCTGAACTTGAACTATTCTTCCTGCAGCTGTTTAAGAACCGTCCGAAGGGCATCTGGGCGGCCAGACTGCCAGCTGAGTTCAAGGCCAGGTTCAAGGAGGAGTTCCCCAGCTACGCCAAGGACAAACTCCAGTTCTGGCCGGATATTGTCAGGACTGACAGGTCAGATGGACTTGTTTGTATTATTTGCATTTAGTCAAAGAAAGTAGTAAAAATGAGAATAAGCACAACAAAAGCTTCACTTACTGACATAGCCATGTTTTCTCCTCAGTTATTTGTTTTTTTCTTGTTCTCTTGCTACATGTTTATTTGATTTTGAGAATGCCAAACAACCAAGGAAAAACATTGTATTTTATGGCTTGCATCTCAACGTTTGTACAATCCTGAGTAAAGAGACTCTTTTTACACGACCAAGTCTTTTATTCAGCCGACATTTTGGTGACCGTCTGTCACCTCCCTCAGGGTAATTCTGACTGGTTCACATTGCACTGCAGCACAGGTGACACTGCTATAGATTCATTCCCAGAAGAGTCTCTTTACTCAGTGACATAAGAACCTGATGAAACTATAATAATTCACGGATGTGTATGATCTTTCCCTACAGTTCCAATGGTCCAATCATCTACTTCCCGGTACAAGAGCCAGCAGAAGACACACCAACGAGACAAGATCCCCCCAAACCCACACAGAACTCAAACGGGGACCACCAACCCAACCAGTTTCTCACAAAGATGATGAACAAGTTCCAGCACACAAAGACCATGAGTATTACCATTCAGGGACATGGCAAGGTACAGTCTATTGTGAAATAATTTTTGTAGCAACTGTACTTGTACTTCATTATAGGAACTGTACATTTACAATGTTAGTGTTCTTAACAACAGGCTAACCTAGATGCATAGAATTCGAGGCCTTGCATTGAGTAACACCGTATATAGAGGGTTCAAACTTACCAAAGATGAGCAGAACAGTTTTTGTAGAATGCATTTATTTGATCTGTCTATTTAGATTTGCCGCATTCGTGGAAGGGTTGACATAACAGGTGACTATTATCTCTTAAAGATGTCAAACCTGAGACTAGACTGTAAGGTTTGAACCACTCCCAGTTGGAAGGACATTACTCTGCATTGATACGAGTGGGAACAATGTATACGTTATATCTTGACAAAAAACTACATGGCCATGTTAGTAAATGTTTACACAAATTTCCTAAGATTTTAAGTTAGAATGAAGGACCCATTTCGTTTCTCTTTATTTGAATTTTCTCCAGGAAGAAGAAGAAGAAGAGGAACCCGAACAGCAGAGTTCCCTGAAGTCTGTAGTAAATGTGGTCATCCGGCCTGCTGAACTGCCTGCTGTAGGGTAAGACTTGCTCGTCTACAGAACATACTGCGCCTGCGCGAAACCTGTAATGTATTGCGCACAGCACTTCGGCAGAACATCTCATAGAAGGTTGTATTTGCGCATGCATCGTTAACATCCCGTCTGTAGTTTCAAAATGTTATGTTGGAAAAGATGCAAGCTGCAACAGGCAAAATTCTGCAGGTGCAGTACGTTCTAGCAACGTGGTTGTGTAAGACTTCATCACGGGACGGAAGTAGCGTTATGGCTTTGCTTGTGTGTTTCTTTGTGTGCATGTCTGTGCTTTGTTACTGTCACAAAGCTATTTAGGTAAATGGGTGAAGTGTTGTAGTTTAAGATTTAGCATTAGGCAATAAGAAAGTAGGGCTCTATCTTGTTTCTATGTCTCTCAGACAATCAGTTTGATTCTAGCTGTTCAATAAATTTCCTGGTTTTACATTGGGATTTTACCTTCCTATTGTCATGTTGAAAATACAGCGTTTGAGTTCTCATGTTTCCTTTTTCAGGACAAAGCTGCAAGTGTTTGTGTCCCACTTCGAGAGTCCGGACTGTTTCTATGTCCACCCTAAAGACTGTGTTGTGGACAACATACAGAGGATCATGACTGAACTATACAAGGTAAGGCAACAATAACCTATGTTCTTGTTTTGTTTTGTTGGACAATTCTTTGTAAATTTTTCACTTAGCAAATCTGGCAAAAGAGAAGATTTGTATGATCTGTGTGATATTTTTTTATATTTTCAATGAATTTCATATATTACATGTACTATCATGAAAGTTCGTCTGTGTTGGTACATGTTTTAAGTTCAAACTTTAGATCCAATACTGTAACAATTATTGAATTAAATTTTTCTCACCTAGAGTTTCTCACCTAGAATTTTTCTCACCTAGCTACGCCCCCAGGAGGGGCATGCGGAGCTGAGTGAGTGAGTGAGAGTTTTTGAGAAAAAACAAACTAGTACACATTCCCTGTGTTGGGTTTGAGACTAAGATTATCAAACAACTTGTATCTCCTAAACAAGTCACTAGAGGGAGGGAAACAACATGTACACTCAAAGTATACACTCTCATTCTAGTACTTTTGAATCCCTTGTGTTAGGTTCCCAATTTTTTACTTTATTGTTAACCTAATTTTTGTTACACCATTGATACCACCAGTTAGTTATTTCTATATTGTCATGGCAACAGATCCTGTAATTAACATATTGTCAACAAATTTTGTCTAGTTTTTTTTTGCTTAGCTTTAGTACAACTTAGGTTCAGAAGTTGTGAAGTATGGAGACTTTGTTGGTCCAACTAGTCACTACCAGCTGTCCCTGTGTTGCCATGGCAACAGCCCATGGCTCAGGCATGTCTGTAGCGATGTGTTTGAGGAATTTTCCTGTCTTGTCAAACATCTCCACACGGCTGTTGTCCATGTCTGCCACGATGATGTTCCCTGCCCTGTCTGTACAGATGCCTTCGGGATAGTCCAGCTGACCTTCACCACTTCCCCAACCTCCAAACTTGAACAGAAACTGTCCGTCCTCTTTGTACACAAAGACACAGTGATTGCGCCTGTCTGACACAAGAATGTTCCCTTCCCCGTCCACAGTGATGTACCGTGGCCACTCCATCCCCTGCTGCTGACCCACAGTTCTCACAAGTGTTCCATCTGGCCTGAACACCAAAACTTCACCATGTGGGTTGTCACTGTCTCCTGTGGTTTGTGTGGTGAGGATGTGGTTCCTCCTGGTGTCCACAGCAACTTCTCTCATCCACCCTGTCTTCTGTAGGTCAAACTTCCTCAGCACCCTGCCCTGTTTGTTGTACTGCACAGCAAAGTCAGCAGAGTCTGTCCTCCCCACCACCCACAGGTTCCCTGTCCTCCCCACCACCCACAGGTTCCCCTCCCCGTCCATTGCTACATCTTGGGGGTACATCTCCTGTTCACCTGACACGACTGTTGGGAACTGTCGGACAAACGTTCCCTGCAGGGTGAAGATTTGGATTCTCTGGTTCCCCCTGTCTGCTACAAAAATCTCCCCTTCATCTGACACTGTAACGCCAAATGGACCATTGAACTGTCCTGGTCCTGATCCCCCTCCACCAAATGTCACCTTCTGACGCTCCCCTTGTCTTTGGTTACCATGGTGATGACCTGTGCCCCTTGCTGCAGGTGCTGCTGGGATAGGTGCAGATGGGAAAGACTGGACCGTCACATGTCCCAATACTGGCACGGGGGTGTCTGTGGGCTGAAAGACAGCAGGCTGGGTTTGTACAGGAGTTGGTGCTGCTTTTCCTCTGTACTTTCCTACCGCCTCTGTCAGAGCGGTTTGCTGACTGAGAAACTTGACCCCTCCCTGCTGCAGTTCTTGTTCTGCTCGATCACAGGCAGCAGACAGTTCATTGACATCTGCTGACACTCGGTCCCTTTCAGTCTGTATTCTGTCCAAGTTTTTTGTGTGATTTTCTCCTGACTCAGACAAAAGTTGATCTTTTCTGTCTGTGAGTTTCTGTACCATTTGGTTGTAAGCCTGAATGATGCTGTTTTCTCTCTGCTGTTTCTGTTCATTCAGGGTTTTCTCTGTCTCTTTGAGACTGCACATGAAACTATTAAAACTTTCCAGAATGTTCCTCCCCTCATGGATCAAGGCCTGGACTGTAGATCTCCTTTCCTGTGCAGCTTTTTTGAGGCCTGTGGTCGGATGTCCATCATGGCTTTCTTCACAACACTCACTACAAACTGGCAAGTTACACTGTTTACAGTAGAGCTTGACTTCCTCTGAGGGGTGAAAACTGCACCTGTTTCCAGACTGGGGTTGCTTCTCTGTTTCCTCTAGCAGGGTTTCTTGTTTCCGGACTTTCTCACACATATTTGCGGCCATGAGATTGTCTGGCAAACCTGCGACCCCCTGGGGTGGCAGCCTGACCTGACAACGACAGATTGGGCACTGGAAGGGTGTCCGAACCTCTGCATGGTCCCTCAGACAGTCCTGACAGAAGGTGTGCTGACAGGGCAGCACCTTGGGCCTGGTGAACAGCTCCAGGCAGATGCTGCAGGACAGTTCTTCATGAACTTCTCTCTTCAAACTTGACGGTGCAGAGCCCATGATTTTGCTTCCTGCTTACGTGGCAGTCACATTCCAACACAAACCCAGATTACAGTACTAGCTAGACTAAGTGATGTTTGTTTTAGTCAACCCCAACAGTTCAAAGGTTCAAAAACTGCTCAGCTGCTTTTGGCATGTTTATTTGTATCAAGAAAATATTATGAAATCTTTAACTAGTGCCAAAATACAAATTTGGAGATAGGACTGGTTTATGTTACCTTTAATTCAATTTTCTAAATATTTAACTACAGCTGTACAGGAAATGTCCATTCACATGTTGTGATTGTTGGTATAATCTAATCATTAATCATTAACACAGTTAAGCTAATAGGATATCGGCCCTGATGTAAATAGCCTATCTGACTTTAGTTTAGTTTAATCCTGTGAATCAGGTTAGTCCTTTTAGTTTATATCAGAGAAAAAACAAGACTTTTGAAAAAAGTTTATCTCGGCCGCTGCCCATGGCAGTGTCCCGGTGAGTTTATTTGTAATGAGTGTAAGAGCACAGTCTGCACGGTGGCAATGATTGGTCTGCACGATGGCAGGGTTTGGTATGCACGATGGCAGGGTTTGGTCTGCACGGTGGCAATGATTGGTCTGCACGATGGCAGGGTTTGGTCTGCACGATGGCAGGGTTTGGTCTGCACGGTGGCAGGGTTTGGTCTGCACGATGGCAGGGTTTGGTCTGCACGATGGCAGAGTTTGGTCTGCACGGTGGCAGGGTTTGGTCTGCACGATGGCAGGGTTTGGTATGCACGGTGGCAATGATTGGTCTGCACGATGGCAGGGTTTGGTCTGCACGATGGCAGAGTTTGGTCTGCACGGTGGCAGGGTTTGGTCTGCACGGTGGCAATGATTGGTCTGCACGATGGCAGGGTTTGGTCTGCACGATGGCAGGGTTTGGTCTGCACGATGGCAGAGTTTGGTCTGCACGATGGCAGGGTTTGGTCTGCACGATGGCAGGGTTTGGTCTGCACGATGGCAGAGTTTGGTCTGCACGATGGCAGTGGTTACAATGTGTGCAAGAGCACAGTGCACGATAGCAGTGGTTACAAAGAGTGCAAGAGTACACTGTACTGGCAGTGGTTTTATTGATAATAAGTGCAATTATGTATATATAGTTTGGCTTCAATATGGCTCTGGTATGTCTGGTGTAGAACAGGGCAATCCAAGACACATCTGGAAGAGAAGAAAAATAATTTCTTGATCAGTATAGCATCCAATTGAACATGCATATTGAATACTTCTTGCTATTAGCACATGGCAAGTCTTCAAAATTTTTCAAACATAGAGATTCATTTATGCTATTTGGTGGGAAAATTTACCTTATACAATTGCAAATTAGCTTCGAAATCTGGAAAATTTAGATTGTTTGAAAGCACTGAGTTATTCGTTCAATACAGTAGCTAATGGAAACCCAGTTTAATACGAAAATCAAGTGGAGTGTATATAGAACGTGCATGCCCCCCCCCCCCGCACTGAAAGTTACAATTTCTCAGAAATAATGGAACGAATCAAACTAAATACAATACGACAGGGACACTGCAGAGAAGACATTAAAAATTGACGAGCACCTCCTGGCATTAAAGCAAGAAACTTAGCCTGCCATGCACTAACATATTGTAAGGTTGTACGAAAATATTCATAAATTTTTACGGGGGGGAGGGGGGCGATAACGTAACTCTGTTTAAATCTGTTCAACAGCACGAATAAAACACAATGTAATTGATTGCCCTTGCCCGTAGTATCTTTAGCTCTATTTTTATCCTATGGCTCTATGCCTAATACCCTTATAATTCCTGATATTTTGCTATTTTTACTAAGAATGCCCTTACCAGCCTCATGCGTTACATCCGGGGTCTGCGATATGGGAAATTCCATTCAGGCCACTAATCAAAAGCGACATCTTGCGACCGAGGAATATAGTGCACTTCCATAACATGTCTCAAGGTACTAGTAATATTAAAACGTAATTTTTTAACTTGGTTTATTGGTGCAATTGCAGCAGTTATTACCAAATCTTTATAACATTTAATGCATACTATGTGTGTGCATGCCTTACCTGTCGTTTTACATGGTTCCGTAAAGCCCATGGGATTTATTCACCAATCAAAAGCGACATCTTGCGACTTAGGCAAATATGCAAGCTAATGAACATAATTTATGTCATTGATTTATTGGTCCAATTACAGCAGCTATTAGCGAAATTCTAGAACATTAAATGCATACTATGATATAAAACAATGGTTTTGTGGTAAACAGCATTTCCTCTTTTTTAGCAACTTCGTTGTATAAGAATAACAACACTATCATCCGGTAGGTCGACACCACAAAGTAAAGTATACATGCAGAGTAATTGGTTTCATTGGTTTTCACGGTCGAAATCAAGATTTATCCAGTCATCCAAGGTACCTATTTTTGAGCACAATACCTCGGCCGCTCAGGCGGCCGAGATAAAAATTGTAAGTTGTAACTGTATTTTGATAAGGGGTTAAAGAGGCCATCTACATCAGGGCATGCGCACTACAATCACGGCTTATCAGGGACAGCGGACTTTCCACAACCTATGATCTCCTGCTCATGGAGTCACGTGTGTTATCTGCGTGACGTCACGGAAGCGGTGGATTGCTCATTCCTTGACAAAGACTGGAGTTGTACGTGTCATTAAAAAATTTGGGTACCAGGGAAATTGCAGTTTAAACGTGTTTCATAATGACTTGTACCAACGCAGATGAACTTTCATGTTGTGCTGCTCAGTACACACACACACACACACACACACACACCTTACACACACCTTACACACACGTTACACACACACACATGCTACAGACTAGGGGTGGGTACCGGTTCAGTCGGACCGGTTTGGACCGGAACAACATTCAAGAACCGAGTCCAAAAAACCGAAACGTGAAAACCGGATGACCGGACCTGATGTACATTTCTGTAGATTGTACACACAATGCACACATCTTTAGATAATCTGGCCATGGCAGGTAAAAAAAACAACCCTGAATCATACTAGATTAGCCTAAATCCATGTTTATGCGTTCAAGACAAGAAAAAAATTGTTTCCCGGTATTAATCTCTTGAAACACAGCGCTGAATATTGACGCAAAAATATTTCGTGCACGGCGAGCCCTCCCCCATTGTTCAGACTGTGACGCAATCCCGCGTCACGTGTCGGCATTTCGCATCTCTGATTGGTTGTTGCGCCCGCTGCTGGCAGCGTAAGCGGCAGACTTGAGCGAGCCGACGCGCGTGTAAACAACTTTTCTTTGTTCGATATCGGCGCTAAAATGCTATTTTCCACAACCACACATCGATATTCTAGTGAAGAAATGCATAGTTTCAAGAATCTTTGGGGAAAATATATGCTTCTATGCGGATTTTTAGCGTTTTCGACGTGATTTTGTCGTCACTTTAACCCGGAAGTGTGGACTAAATTTTTAGCGTATTTTACCCTGCGTTTTACCAATCAAAACAATAAACAACCCCCGCTAAGAGAACCCTGTAACATTTTAGATCGCAGCAATTAAGTATTTGATCAAATTATTTGTGGATGTGCTGGCATTTCAGCCGTATTATTCATCGGGAAAAGCGGCCTCATGCACGGCCGTGTCGTGTACACCAAGAAATTATGTCTCGCTTGCCAAAATACGTTATACTACTGTACAACCTAGAACGGGACCTTTTCGTCGGAGGCGTTTACTTCTCTCCTGAATATTCAACAACTTTCGAAACAAACAACAATCAGCTCTTTGAAATTTTACATGACGATATTAGTAGATTATCCAACCAAGGAAATATTATGCTGCTAGGCGACCTAAACGCTAGAACAGCTTCTTTACAAGAGATCATAATCCAAGACGATTGTCTCAACCACAATCTGATAGACTTCAAAAACGATATCCGACACAGGGCGAGTTGTGACAACGGTGTTAACAAATATGGCAACCAACTTATAGAGCTCTGTTCAGCAGCTGACCTCACTATCGTAAACGGCCGAGTGCCAGGAGATTCAACTGGAAAGCTCACTTGCCACAAATACAACGGCTCAAGTTTAGTTGACTACTGTATTGTTAGTTCGGAGCTCATCACAAAAGTCCAGTATTTTAAAGTAAACGACATTTCTATTTTTTCTGATCACTGTTTAATAGAATGCTCAATCTCAACCAACTATTCTCCATATAAAAGACAAGCTAAAGCCCCAAGTCATCCATTACCAAAAAAGTATATTTGGGATGAAAACTCCAAAACCAAATTCATAGCGACTTTACAAGACCCTGCGATATTGCAGAATTTGCGAAACTTTACCAGTAAGTCCTTCTGTTCTGCAGACTCAGCGGTGAAGGAATTTACTGATATAATCACTGAGGTAGCCGATAAATCTCTCCGCAAAATTGTCCATAACAATAGCAAGAGAAGGAAAAAGAATAAGACAAACAAACCTTGGTTCAACCCCTCATGCGCCTCTCTCAAACACAAAGTTAAGCAGTTAGCCGCCCAGTTTTCTAAGTATCCATGGAAGCTTGATGTTCGCCACGCATATTATTGCAATCTGAAGTTATATAAAAAGAAAATCAAAACAGAAAAGACTTTTCAAAGAAAACAATGGAACAATCTTAGAAAACTTAGCAAGGAAAATCCGCAAAAATTCTGGAGGGAAATTAGATTACAAAAACAGGAGGACAGTGATAAACAGAGGGAAGATAATGCTATAAATCCTGAAGAGTGGAGGACTCACTTCAAAACTTTAAATGATATTGTAGATAATGATAAGCCAAATAAAGACTTTATTGAACATGCAGGTCAAGAATGGCCTAACATACATACAAATAGTATAACATCGAATGCAGGCTATAAGAAATGCATAAACGACATCCTTAACACTATTGAAAACACAGCAGAAGACCCATTGGACTTTGTTATCTCAGAAGGAGAAATTTTAGAAGGTCTTCGCAACCTAAAAGCTAATAAATCATGTGGCACTGATTCAATTATAAATGAAATGTTAAAACATGGCGATAAACAACTCCTACAACCGTTAAAGAAACTTTTAAACACTACCCTTCAATCAGGAAACTTTCCCCGTCAGTGGAGTCAGAGCATCTTAGTTCCGATATTTAAAAGTGGTAACCCAACCAATCCGTCCAATTATAGAGGGATTGCCATCTCTAGCTGCGTCGGTAAATTGTTTACATTCGTGCTTAATAAACGACTTCAACGATTTCTGGAAGAGAACAACATATTATCTCCATTTCAGTCTGGCTTTTGCCCAAACTTCCGCACAAGTGACAATGTCTTTGTGCTCAAAACTCTAATTGATCAACAAATATCCAATCCGGGGGGGAAATTGTATGCATGTTTTGTTGACTTCAAGAAAGCCTTCGATTCTGTATGGCGAAATGGGTTATTTTACAAGTTGTTATCATCGGGTATAGGGGGGAATTTCTATAAAATCATACAAACAATGTACTCAAACATAGAATACTGCGTTAAAACATCAAACGGTCTGTCAACATACTTCAAGTCCACATGCGGCGTTCGACAAGGGTGCAATTTAAGCCCGCTTCTTTTTAATTTATACGTTAACGACCTTCCATGCTTACTAAATTCACCACTTTGCGACCCTGTATTTTAAAGGACACTCCCATCAACAGCCTTTTCTGGGCAGATGATCTCGTGCTCTTATCTAAATCAGAAAATGGCCTTAAAGAATGTTTAAAAAGATTAGATAACTTTTGCTCAACATGGCAACTGACGATCAATAGAGATAAACCAAATAATGATCTTCTCAAAAATGGACAAACAAATAAAAATCGGCGCTCTCCTTTCCAGTCACAGGGCCATGTAATAGATATTACATCCTCCTACACATATCTAGGAGTAGACATAACCCCATCAGGAACGTTTAAACGAGCCAATAAACAACTCAGAACTAAAGCCCTCCGAGCCTCCTTCAAACTTAAGTCATTTCTATCAACAAATCACAACCCATCCATCTCTCTTGCATTAGACCTGTTTGATACTATAGTAAAACCAATCCTACTCTACTGTGGAGAAGTTTTAGGCCCAAATATACAATGTAGGGACCTGATCATGAAAGGAATAGAAGAATCTCCAAACGAAAATATACGAAATATATTATCTAACATTTTATCCCCAATACTAGGACCACAAGTAAATATTCTCAAAACAAATCGTATCGGAAAGAAATCTGAACCTCATTCTAGCCGCCCTATACTCGTCCGTTTAAAAAAATACAGTGACAAACTAAACATTGTACATAACTCGGAAACATTAAGAAACCAAAATGTATATATAGAGCAACCTACACTGTCATACGAAAACCCTGACCTAGAACAAGTTCTCTTGAATTTCTACAAAATAATTCTCCGTGTCCCTAGAAGCTCCGTCACCGCCGCCGTAAGGGGAGAACTAGGAGCGTTTCCGTTATATATTGACACCCAAACTCAGCTCATCAAATACTGGCTCAGACTGCACCACCTGCCTAATGATAGAATTGTTAAAAAAGCCTATGATATCGCTGTAGAACAAGAACAGGACTGGGTAATACATATACAAGATATGCTATGTAGACACGGTTTCCAAAATATTTGGCTAAACCCAACAGTTGACGCCAAGCATTTTGGAAAGGTGTTCAAACAACGACTGCAAGACACGTTTGTTTCTGGCTGGAGGCAAAACATAAGAAATTACAGTAAACTACAAACCTATATTAAATTCAAAACCGACTTCACTTTTGAGAAGTACCTCTCATCAATCCAAAACAAATCTTTTGTTGCTAACATAACCAAACTGCGAATCAGTGCACATTGTTTAGAAATAGAAAAAGGTCGTCATAAGAATGTACCAGCCACTCAGAGACGCTGTCCTACATGTAAACACAATGTTGAAGACGAATTTCACTTCTTATTATTTTGTCCCACGTACACTGAAGAAAGGCTGACACTTATGAACATGATCTCACGTAACTCAAACCTTACTTTACCTAGAACAAGCTCAGATACTTTTAATTTACTTATGTCATGTCCTGAACCAATATCCTTATATATAGGCCAATTCATATCTTCCGCTCTCCAGAAAAGAAACCATATCATCTCTGACACTTCGAATGGATGTTAATACTGTATCCATGTCCCATATATATTGTGTAACTCATAGTACACAATTACAGCGTAGCGTCTAGAGTTAGTCATTTAGAAGTAGATTTTAGTATTGTTATTCTTGTCTATACTTGCCATACATTGTACCTGTTGCAACTGTTGCGCAATAAAGATTGATTTGATTATAATCAGGTCCGGTTTCAGGTCCGGACCTGGACCTGATCCTCTGAACCTGATCCGGACCTGGACCTGAATTTTCTATACCGGTACCCACCCCTACTACAGACTGAAGACATGATAAATTATAGTAAGTAACTGTTGTTATGTCCCAGGACTGTTGTGTCCCCCCCACCCAGCTTCAGCCCTGGTACCTGTTGTGCAGCTCAGTACACCCCCCCCC